GAAGTGGTGGTCCGGCGAAGGCGAGGGCCTCAAGTGGTGGTCCGACGGAGCAACGACGTCAGGCGGTGGTCCAGCGAAACTCAGGCGGTGATCGAGGAGGAGCTTCTTCTTTTCTCTTCTTCTCTTCTCCTCTTCTCTTCTTCTCTTTTTGCTTGGATCTCTTTTCAAGTGAAATGAGAGGTCTATTTATAGATTTCTGGAGTGGCAAGGCCCGTAAATAAGCGAGAGATCAAGGGTAAATGGATATTGGTTGGATGGACAGTCAATGTTGAATCCCTTGATCATGGACCATTTGATGGACATTTGAATGCCTTAGTGATGTTGGATTTTGGTGATCTTGGGCTCCTTGGATTCTTCTCGTCAAGCCACTCGATTCAACTATAAGCACATTATGTTTGAAAACCGTTTTGTAATCCAAATTGTGGTTAGAACCTTCTAACATAGCTTCTAACCCTTGATTTGGACCTGTTTGGGCTCGGATTGGGTTGGATCTGGTGTCGTTGGGTTCGTATTCTTGAGATGCTCAGTTTGACTATAAGTTTGCTAAAATCGAAGTTCGGATGTTCCCAATTTTAATTTTGGGAGTTTTCCATTTGATTTTGCCTCGAGATTCGTGGTCGATCAAGATAATTTTTTTATGACGTATCAATATATATAATATTTATTTTTACTTTAAGATTAAAGTTTTTTAACACTCAAAAATATTTTGTGATGTTTTGAACATTTTTAAAATCAACTATCACAATCGGCTATTGCTACCACTATCGTTGGCGCTTTTGACGACCACTATTGTCCTTATTTTTCTATCTACTTTTATAATTGCATTGTTTGCCATTCTCACATTCATTGTCACTAACGGCCATCATCACTATATAAACAACTTTATATATATATATATATATATCAAATATAACTTACTTTATATAAAAATAAAATAAAAAATCAAATGATCCCAAATGATTCATAATAATCAAATGATACGAGGCTTGCAAAAACTTCTTATTTTTAGAAATTCTACCAAATCAGTTGAGCCAAATCATTTGATTAACCATTGATATGTCATCAAAAATTGTCTTGATTAGGCACAAATCTGAAAGCATATATGAGTTGACAACTTTCAAAATTAAACTCGGGATCATATGAATTCTAATTTCAGCAAACTTATAGTCAAATTAAACGTCTCAATGAGTCGAACCCAACGACACCAAAATTGGTCAAATTCGAGCCCCAATGAGCCCAAAATAATTGGATCGAAGCATGTTTGAAGATTCAAAGCATTAATTGGATGATCAAATGATATATAAATATGTCATGCTTATGGTCCAATTGAGCGACTCGACGAGACGAATCCAACGTGCCCAAGATCACTTAATTTTAACAACATTAAGGAACCTAATTATTGAGCAACCACTCTATGATTATTGGAATCATTATTGGTCATCCAATGAAGCACTCCAAAATTACCCTTGATCTTTTCATAACTATAAAATATGCCAATCTAAAAATTTATAAATAGACTCCCACTCTCTACTTGAAGGGGACGTTTGGGGGCTTGGACTTTTGAAGGCTTAGACCCTCGGCTAGAGACTTAAGAGAATTTTGAGGCTTGAATCATCCTGGAGCTACATCTAGGCACCATCGTCGGTGAATCCTCACCGCCAGGCCACCGACGTTGTACCTCTGCCAAATCATAACAGTCGAACGTTCATCCAGTAGCTATCATCAGGCCTTCAGTTGGCCACTATTGTCCGCTACCTATGATCCCTCTGGCAACTATCGCTCGCCTATTACGGTCCCTCCGATCATCGTTACCAGTTGACTAAGATACCTCTGACCTCCTTTGCCCGTCGAATATTTTCCCTACTACCACTGTTGCCTGAGAACCACGATCTCTCCGACCACTGTTGTCCACCGGCTTTGGTTCCCTCCGACCTCCGTTGCCCGACTATTACGATCCCTTTGACCTTAGTCGCACGTTAACTACAATCCCTCTAACCACAATCATTGCCGACTACGGTACTCCGACAATTGTTGTCAGTCGACTACAGGCCTCCGACCTTCATCACCCGGTGACTATGATCCTTTTGACCTCTGTCGCTAGTTGACTATTATTCCTCCGATCTCCATTTCCCGCCAATTACGGTCCCTCCGACCTCTGTCGCTCGCTGACTACAGTCTCTCAAACTAGCATCGTTGCCATTTACAACCCCTTTGACCATCGTCACCCACCAACTATAATTCTCTGACCACCATCACCCACTGACTACGGTCCCTCCAACCACTATCACCCACCAACTACGGTCCCTCCGACCACTATCTCCAGTTGACTATGGTCCCTTCGACCTTCGTCTCCCGCTAACTACGATCCCTCCGACCTCTATCGCATGTCGACTACAGTCCTCTAATCACTATCTCTCGCCATGGTCCCTCTGACCTTCGTTGACCACTGACTACGGTCCCTCCAACCTCAGTCGCTTGACTACGCTCTCTTAGTCCTTCATCGCCCGACTATGATCCCTACTATCTTTGTCGCTTAACTATGGTCCGACCAACCAGAGCAGGCCAACATTCTTTTGAAACAACTTTCATGTCACTATATTCTCCTAACTCCGAACATGTAATTCACTTTATATGATGTATATTTGTTATAGAGAGCCAAGGCTTCCCCCAAGGAATGACATCATTTATAATCAACTAAAAACGCTAGAGGATTCATTTTGGTATCTATTATAAGTTTTATACCCCTCTCTCTTATATGCATGTGTGCTGGATCTTCATGTAAAATTAAGATGCTAAACCCTATATCTATCCATCATTGTGAATGTTCCATGACACAACAACTTTATTAAGTAATCATTTTCACTAAAAAGAGCGCATTCATCTTGATGAATTCCCATAATCACGAGTAAATTGAAATGGGGGCATAACCGTCCTAAATTTTATTATATTTTTATATATTATATATTTTACATGCATAAATATATTTAATTTATTCCCTTCTAAAACTTTAAAATTTAAAAGGAAAAATATGATGTTATTTTTAAACGTGTTAATTCATGCCCACATCAAAATAAATTTTTGTCACGTAATTGCGGCCATAACTATAGGAAATTTGGAAAAAATAAATTTTTTATACTGACGGCAATACCAGCTTGTGCTTAGTCACTTACACTGATGCACAAAAAAAAAAATATTTTTGCATATTTTAAATGATTTGAATAATAAAAATATGCTAATTCAAATCTATATAAAATCCAAATAAATCATAGACCCTGAAAATTAATTTATATATTTCTTATATATTTGACCTTCAAATCAAATAAAATTTGTTGAAGATAAACTAATGATATATCTCCGAAAAAAAAAAAAATTCAAACGAAACGCATCAGCTAATTATTAGCACCGACAAAAAATATTAAAATGACATTTTATTCGACTCTAGAAAGCAAAATAAAACACGTTGTCAAAAACTTATGCGGGCGCGAACGCATTTTCTAATGAATAAATATTTCTCAAATTTAAAATAATATTCAAATGATAGATAGCAGAAATTGATTCAAATGAAGTATTTTTAGTTTTTGAACGTATTCATTATTTTTTTAATTTTAATAAAATTGAATCATAAACTTTGGAAGATATTTCAGTTGAAAGTCCAGCTCCTAATTCGGGGTGTCAATATTTGCCACGGAAATCCGACCCGGACCTGACCCTAAAAATCCGGGTTGGACCCGACCTGATTTCAAAACGGGTCGGATTCGGGTTCTCGTATTTGACCCGTTTGAAAAATCGGGTCGGGTTCGGGTCCGAATCGGGTCTGGTTCGGGTCGGACCCGAACCCGACCCGAAACCCGGTTTTGACACCCCTACTCCCAATCCGCACAGTAAAGCTCCTTTTACCACTATTTTTTTTCTTTTTAAAATTACTTTTTAATAAAAAAAAAATGAGAAAAAACATTAATCTAAAGCTGTTACAAATGAAGTTTAAGAGTAAGGCTTCATTTCAGACAACTTTCTTACTATTTTTTAAAATATTTTTTAGCATAATTTTTTTTAATTAAAATTTTTATACTACAAAGTTACTTTAAAAAGTAAGAAGAAAACCGTCCCAAATGAAGTCTTAATTGGAGATAACTTTTACTACTTCTCATTATCTCAATCATAATTTTTATTTGGCCATTTTTTTATTTTAAAAAATTTTCTAAAAAGATGTTTTGTACAATAATAGCTTTAAAAAAAATTTCTCCATAATAATTTTATAATTTTTTTATAAAAAAATTACAATAGAAATCGTAACCATAATTACATTCAATCATATCCTCTTTTAAGAAACAAAATTTGGAGTCCTCAAACAATTTTCTGGCTCAAATGTGTTAATAAATTATATATTGCAATAAATTATTATTATTATTATTATTATTTCATTTTCCACCTCTCCATTTGTCCTATCAGCGAACTCTCAACTTGATCGTCAGCTAAGAGCCACCAATTCTGACCCAAAAACAAAGGCATGGGCCCATTTAGCCAAACATCGTAGGAGCCAACCGACCAAATGCAAGTAGAAGAGCGGTGGAGAATATATATTTGTGTGGTGAATAAATAAATTGCGTATGCAATAATGGAAGTGTACATTCCTTTCTTTCCAGCATTTTCTAAAGGCCACTTTTGGGGGAGAGATTATTCTGTGTGCGCGAATATCGGACACAGCTTATCGTCCAGAGACAAATCAGGTGCAGCCAAGGCCACTTTTCGGGGAGAGATTATTCTGTGTGTGCAAATATCGGCGAATATCGGATATAGCTTATCGTCCAGAGACAAATCAGGTGCATCCACGTCATTCAATACCAAGCTCGATACCGTGCAGTACCAAACAATACTGAGCTACAATACTCAATAGAAGGAAACGTGACCTATTTTTATTGGGCTAATCATCAGGAGCTGAATTAGCTGTCAATAGCTTACGTAGACGGGTTGATTTATTGCAGATAATTGATTTATTCATTATAATAGCCAGCAAACCTCATAACAGAAAGCTCCCAACCTTCTTTACTTCCTTTATGATATTTGCCTCTATGATGCACTTCCACTACGCTCGGCCACTGAAACGAAAGGAAACTAATTAAGTAGAGGCGTTTGCTTTGCTCTCTTCTTCTTCTTCTTCCTTTTCTTCTTTCTATGTTAATGGAAAGGTTCGAGGTTATCAGAGATATTGGGTCAGGAAATTTTGGTGTGGCCAAGCTGGTTAGAGATTTATGTACGAAAGAACTCTACGCTGTTAAATTTATTGAGAGAGGACAAAAGGTTTGGTTTTTCTTCCTCGTCCCTATGATTAAAAATTTGGTTTTTGTTCGCGGCTTCTGACAGTTTATGGGTTGATTTCTAAGTTAAAAAACCCAATTTTTGTTATATAATTAGTTGAGTTCTGAAAGTTTTCTGACGTGGTTTATTTGAATGTTTGAATTTGTTTGCAGATTGATGAGCATGTAAAGAGAGAGATCATGAACCACAGGTCGTTGAGGCATCCAAATATTGTTAGGTTTAAGGAGGTACATAAATCTGATCAGAAGTTTTGCTTTGTTCCTTCCTCTTTTGTGTTTGGAGTTTCCTTGTTTGTTAGATTATTTTGCAATCTGCGATATCTCAATGTATGCATTATAGATGAGGATGATTAATTGTTTTAGAGACTATGCCCTGGAGGAAATTTGTACGCTTTGTTCCAGATGAGTCTAGCTTCGCGGTTTTTTTATTGAAGAGAAACTAAAACTCAGTAAGCTCTGTGCTAAGAAAGAAAGTAAAATAAAAGATACTATAGTGGCAATTGAGGCTCATGAGTTACATTGTTAGGATTCAAGCTCAGGAGGAGATGAAGGATTCATTTGGGACGACTTTTTTACTGCTTCTTAAAACAACTTTCGAGTGCAAAAATTAAAATTGTTATACTAGAAAGCTATTTTAAGTAGTAAGAAAGTCATCCCAAACGAAGCCGAAGATAACATCTGAAGTAGGTCTTTTTCTTGTTGGTTAGCTTATTGCCATGTATCAACTACCTTTTGGTTCTGCAAATGGTGAAATGGAAGAAGGGGGTATAGGTAGTGTATGAAGGAGAGTAGGAGCAATTTAAAGCCAAACAATAACAAGGCCAACGAACAGCACGCCAACGTCAGAAACAGGCATGAAGTAGCTCATGGGTGAGAGAGATTATTAGTGCGGTGTCCGGACCGTCCGGAAGCGAATTCGGACGCGCCACATCACCCGGATGCACTGGGGTCCGGGTGAAATGGCGCGTCCGGATTCGTCCGGAGGTGAATCCGGACGAATAATAAAAATGCTTTTGATTATGACATTGAAGCAATTAGGAAGCACTTTTCTGTTTGTTTCCTTTGGAAAAAGTAAAACATTCTATCAAACATTCCTCTTGATTAATCATAATAACTTCGGGTTTAACTTTCAGGTCTTCTTAACGCCTTCACATCTAGCATTAGTGATGGAATATGCATCTGGAGGTGAGCTGTTCGAGATAATTTGCAATGCAGGGAGGTTCAGTGAAGACGAGGCAAGTCATTGAACTCTTAAAAAATTATTCTTTTTTTCTAGAAAATGCCAGGTTAGAAAAAAACTTAAAAAGATGACTAAATAGAACCTTGCATTAGCTTGAACTGAAATTCTTATTTCTGCTTCTCCGTTTTCTTTGCTTTTTACACATTGGAATAATGCTTAACTTATTTATATTACCTGATTTCTATAGGCAAGATTCTTCTTTCAGCAACTTATTTCAGGAGTCAGCCACTGTCATTCCATGGTATTGTTAGTGTTTACTGCTTCTTATCATATAATCCTTCTCCATCAATGGACCCTTAATGAAATTTGAATTCCTTGCAGCAAATATGCCACAGGGATCTTAAGCTAGAAAACACATTATTGGATGGTAGCAATGTACCAAGGCTAATGATATGTGACTTTGGGTATTCCAAGGTGATTAGCTGAAACTAACAATCTTCTATTGCTTGTGTAATTTCAACAACCTAGAACAGTCAATTCATTTGTTCTTCACAGTCTTCTGTGTTGCATTCACAACCAAAATCTACGGTTGGTACACCAGCTTACATCGCTCCCGAGGTTTTATGTCGCAAGGAATATGATGGCGAGGTAAGTTCTCCATAATTTGTTAAAATAAACATAGAGAGCTCTGTGATTTTGTCACCTTCAAAAATTCACTTTTAATCAAGTGCAGATTGCTGATGTTTGGTCTTGTGGAGTAACATTATATGTGATGTTAGTTGGAGCCTACCCCTTTGAGGACCCAGATGATCCCAGGAACTTCAGAAAGACGATTGGGGTAATTGCATCGAAATATTCTCTAAGATAACTACTATGACTTATACTAGGAATTCATGGTTATAGTTGCTGATTGAAGGATGTTTATTTTTGTCAGAGAATACTAAGTGTTCAGTACTCAATTCCAGACTATGTGAGAGTATCAATTCATTGCAGGCATCTTTTGTCCCGGATATTTGTAGCTGATCCTGAGAAGGTAATGTCTTTTTACTATGGTTATTATTTCTTTTCTTATTCTTTTAAGTTTTGTTTGGGACAACTTTAGACTACTATTTTTTTCCTGTATTCAAAAGATTTTTGTACTAAAAAGCAATTTTACAAAGCAGTAACAAAGCTGTCCCAAATTAAGCATATGCAATAAATGAATTTTATTCATCAAAAGATGGGCGGGTTGATTGTTTTGATGAAAACTTAGGTTTCATTTGGATCGGCTTTCTTACTGCTTCTTAAAGCAGCTTTCTATTGTAGAATACTGGAATTCAAAGGGAGCGGGAAAACATAGAAGGAGAATGTGTTTTTGGCAGTAATTTTCACATCTTGCTTTTCATTGATACATCCACTATATATAGTGATTATTACAAGAAGTTAGTTACAAGTATGTGGTGAGGAAGCTGCTTTAAGAAGCCACAATTAACCTAGAAATTATAGACAACTTAAGTACATGAATAAAATGTTAAATGCCACAATTAACCTAGAAATTATATGCAGTGTTTATATAATCAGTGCAATCTGATATGATGCTGCAACATCTCTTATAAAACAGTGCAAGAAATGTGACTTTCTCATATATAAAGAGCTTTCAGTTTCATTTATAACGGTTTTATTGCCAAAACTTCAGAGAATAACAATGCCAGAGATAAGGAAACACCCTTGGTTTCTCAAAAACCTTCCACTGGAGCTCACTGATGGGTACCAGGAGAACTTGAAGAGAACAGATATGAATTCTCCATCGCAAAGCGTCGAAGAAATAAATTCAATCATAGAAGAGGCCAAGAAACCTTTGCAGGGTCCAAAGATTGAGCGCACCATAGGAGGAAGTCAAGACCTTTCTGACATGGATGATTATGTGGATCTTGATGACATTGAAACGAGCGGAGAATTTGTATGTTCTATGTAGCTTGTGAATATTTTTCTTGCCTTTTTTTTTTGTCCATTTGAAAGATCTTTCGTTTGTTCTTCCATGCTGCTGGATATTGTAGCAGCTTGTGAGCTTTTGAGTAAGTGATTTCAACTGCATGCATGAAGCTGTTTGCTTTTGTGGGCATTCACTTACTTCTGTTCTGCTATGATGTTTAGGAATTAGGAGGTCAAAAACAAATTGCAGGTTTAGGCATTGATTTGTACAGGTGTCAATTTTTCACACGACCCGTAACACGACCCGAACCTGACCCGAAAAAATCCGGGTTCGGGTCAACCCGAACCCGAAACGGGTTGGTTCGGGTTGAACAAATCAACCCGTTTTAAAAATCGGGTCGGGTTCGGGTTGACCCGGACCCGAATCGGGTCGGGTTCGGGTCCGGAAACCTGATTTGGGTTGACCCGAACAGTGTCGGGTCAGTTCCGGGTTCGACCCGAACCCGACCCGCTGACCCGAATTGACACCCCTTGATTTGTCAATGAAGTTACTGATGGGCTCCATTTTGTGGTTATCGTCTAAACAAGAGGTAGTTGGTTTTGAGCAATTTATTGAGATAGATATGAAGATGATTATAATCACATATTGACAGTGAAAATGATAATTGAGTTTTTAATAATTGTTAAAAATAATTAATCTAAAAGAACTTGAAATTACTGATAATTCTTTGATTTGTCGATCTTACAAATTGGGATTTTTGCACTTGAGATGAAATATCTTCTGATTTCCAATTTATGTTTTTGTGGTAAGGATGGACTAAAGTTAAATCATCTACATGACAAAAAAGATAAACTAAGGGGCTGTTTGGGATAGCTTTTTCATTGTTTTAGCTTTTCAGACAGCAACTACAATTGTATTTGACTACTACTTTCTTATTGCTAGCTCATTGCTTCTCAGAAATTTCTATGGTGGAAATATGATTTTTGTGATCAGAGAAGTTTAATTGTTTTATCCACAGCAACTTCGCAGCCAACTTTATGAAATGCTTCAGCCATCCTAAATAGACCCTAATTTGATGACACAATTTAAAGTACGTACTCCTGTAATTTCTTTTTGCCTTGAGCAAATTTAGGGTTGGTTTGGGACAGATTTAGCCTTTTTATAAAGGTGGTTGTAAACCTACTATTGTGAGGAAATGAAATTTTTTAAAGGTTGTGTAAAACTTTTTAGCACTGAAATTTCTTAGAAGTAGTAAAAAAGCAATAGCAATAAAAAAAACAGTTTGTATTATGATTTAAAAATCAAAATAGTAAAAAAGTTGTCCTTAATCGCGAGCCCAACTTAATTGGTCACCACATGCATCCATAACACCTACTAAAATTAAATTTTATGAATTAAGGTCTTTCTTTCTTTATGTGATTAGTACCTATGACTTATGTAAAAAAGAAAATTTATTTTAAGTATAAGTTTATTTAAAGAGTATAACTTTCTACTAACAATGGCTTTAAAGTTTAGCGGTAGTTAACTTAGGTAGTTAGGTGACATCCTTATAAAAAGATAACTATTTATGTGTACATTTGTCGCAAAATTTTAATTAAACAATTTGATATATATATATATATATATATGTCCAAAATATCGGTATATCTATTTATTACAGCTATTCAGCATTTAATATGTTTAGTTAATAGCTACTACACCTATCTAACATTTCATTAAATGACTTTTATTATAGCAGATCATGTGTTGGGGATTTTGAGTTAGTTTGAGATGGTGGTTATTGGTTAACCAATGATAATTAATCCGTTCTTAAAAAATGGACATTATCTCTTCCTAATTATTTAAAATACTCGTACGGGCGAAATGTGTTAATTCTCATGTAAGTTGTTAGATTGAGGAAGATCTTTCTAAAAAGCTAGCAAAATTGATATTCTTTTGACTATTGATAATTTTATTCCTTCTAAATCTCATCTTATTTTTGCTAGAGTTTGGGTATAAACCTTTACTTATCTCTTCCTAATTATATTTCACATAATATTAATATTAACGGAGTTTAATGATCTCATAATGGTATGTATGATAAGCTTGCAGCTCTTGTAATACGCTGGCTTATGATATGAATATATGCCATAATTCCAATTATCTTAACCATCCGTCAAATAAAAGTCCAACTCACTCTTATGGTTATAGTTGAAAAAAGAAATTTTAGTGGCAAAGGTAGAGGATGTATTAGGCAATTCCTCCCTACCACTTCCTAACTTCAACCTCCCCCTTCTATAACACAATTTGATCCATCTACTTCTATTAGGCATACCCTACCTAAAAAAATCTTGTCTAAATCTTATTTTTCTTATTACTCTTCTTTCTCTGCTAAAATGTATGTTCAATATTGATCCTATAACCCATCTAGAACCTCTTCTTACCCCAACCATAAAGTCTATTTATGTAAAGCACAAGGTCTCAAATTTTGATCTCATCACCAAGAAGATCAACCACATCCTCCTGACTTACAACTTGAAATGTAAAGGGTCCCCAGGAGGAGAGTAAAATTTCACACATCAGAAATCTCATTATAGAATCTCAAATCAACTCTGTTCTTCTCTTTGAAATGAAAGTTTATGTTACCAATATTCTTAATTTTTTTAGAAGATTTTTTGGCTACCCTTATGAGAGGAATTACAATACTTTTCATACATCACCTTATGGCAAGTTTTAAATTAAGTGGCATTCTTCTCAATTGAAGTAAAATTCTATTTTCATTTATCCTCAATTTATTCAACGGATTGTGGAATTCTCTAATTATATAATTTTTTTTTCTTATATTGGTGTCTGCTACCTTGGAGATGAAAAGCCTTTCGAACTCTTGCAAATATCTCGTCTTATGTTGGTTTGGCTTGGATTCTGAAGGGGGATTTAATTATATCAAAAAGTCAATGTTAAGAATGGGGGACATTTTTATTAGTCAACTAATTTTGTGTATTTCAACAACTATGACTTTCATGCAGGCCTCCTAGACCTCCAACATTTGGGTCTTTCCAATTTATTGTATAATAATTAAATAAAGTCTACCATCATATCTAAATTAGATAGAGCCCTTTCAAATGATGAGTGGATAGACCTATTTCCATATTCTTATTATAAAGTGATCCCTCCATTGTTCTTTAACCATTCCCATCACATTATCTATATTGAAAAATTCCTTATATCAAATACATTTTTATTTTCAAGAACTATTGACCTTTATATGATTGAATCAAATATCGTATCAAGAATATATATTTGAGAATCTTTAGTTCAAGGAGATCCTATGTTTTGAAGAGGTAGCATTCAATTATAGAGAGGACAAAATTCATAATCTTGATAGTTTTATATTTAAGGGCGAACTTATAAAAAAATAAATATATAAAAGGGTTAAAAATAATTTATTTTGCACATAATCGCTTTTCACAAATTTGTTTGTCAGTGTTAGAAAAATTAAGTATAATCGGATGAAAATCACTGGAGGCCAGGAGGCTTTCCAATTTTTGGAGGTGGTAAATTGCATGAAAAAAAAAGTCCGTTGGGACAAATAAATAAAATTTAGAGGGGGGGTTTCAGATTATAAATAACCCTTATCATACTAATAGTTTTTTTTTCTTTTTCTTTTAGAGATTTATCAATACATGTCCTTGATTGTTGCTTATAATGTCACTAACACCTTTCAAGAAGATATTTATCCACTCAACGGTTTTTGCTGTCATTTTAAGATATTTTTTATTATTCTTCCTCTAATGGTTAAATAGAGTGACTACTCTTGCTCCAAATAATTTTTTGTGAGAAGTGTCGATTTGGCTATTCAATTGTTCCTTGTTGTATTTTGTATTCAAATTATATATTAGTGATTCGCCACATTGGTGCATAACAATAATTTTTGAATATTTAGTTTATTAATGAGGTGTTGCATGTTAGAACATTAGTGGCAATAGAGTTAAAGAGTTTATTTTCTTAGTATTGTAAGATCCAACACGTACAAATAAATGAGAAGTTGCAAAAGATCACAATTTTTTTACATAGAAAATACATGAAAAGAGAAAAATCAAGAGGTCTAACCCAATCAGAATAATTTCGCTAGAGTATGTCATCGGTTATAGATGATGATATTTTCTATAATTGGGGAACATGCTGATACAGTATAATAAACACAAACTATATATAATGAGTTATGTAGTGAAAATTAAAAGAGTCATGTGATGTGTGAGCTATCTTCAAGAGCTGTTTATTTGATAGTTCTCCTTTGAGAAAGGGAGACCATGTACTAGAAGTCAAACATAATCTTGACATTGATGTTGGAAGTCAGAGTTAGTGTATACGATATGCATCAATTGTTAGAAAACCTTTGTAAGAAAATTTTAGGATGAAAGAAGCTTGTAATGGTGCTCGGGTGCTAGTTTGACAACAACTGTCGGACGATGGATCAACGATCACAACCAAGCAATGGTGCTCAGGTGGAGGTCTCATATTGTTTGAGCCCTTGAGTTCTCTTGAATCTCAATGTGAGGTCCAAGTTCCCTGATTCTTGTATAGATTAAGCGGATATTTATAGATTTTTTGAATGTTGCATGCGACAAAAATATAACTTGAATCCGAAAACATTCATCGAATGACCATTTTGATTTCTTCAATCATAGATAGTTCCTTCAACATTTAGGTGTCTTAATAGTGTTAGAATTAAATGATCTTATGCTAGACGGATTATTCTCTTTGAGACCTTGATATGACTTTAAAGTATGCAAAAATTGAAGAATATTTATATCCCAAAATTTTTAATTACACTTCAAGTATTTGATCTTAACACATTTAAACTCAAATTGTACCTTGTTATGTCTATCATTCATTTTGACAATGTTTTTTTAAATCAAATTTCAATCAATTCTAAGTTTAAATTTTAAAATTTTTAATTAAACTATTTATAAATTTATAGAGAAATTTTATTTAGACGATAATGGCAAGACATCTCATTATATTTTCAGGAAATAGTTCAGCTAATCTATTTTTTTGCCAATTTTTTTACTCATATTGGATGTACTTCCTGTGTTAGCTGGATCCTTTCTTCCAGCATTGTTAAGCAATCTTCTAATCTACCTAAGATTTTCATTTGAAACAATTTTCTTGTATTTTTAAAACAGTTTTTTAATATATTTTTTTTAATTTAAGACAAATTCATACACACATCATATATATAATCTTCGATCTCAAAACCTTTTAATTGATAGTCAAAACTTCCAATCAAAAAATCAATGTGAGTAAACAAACCAATTTGAGCTACATACAGGAAACATATTGGAACTATGCAAAAGTAACTTTAAGTACTCATTCATTACTGCTTGAAACCTCTTCAAGACCAATATTTAAGATCGTTAAGGCATTGAAAAAACAAAAACATATTTAATATGCAACCTATGAGAAATACCAGATGTTAAGAATGTGGACTTACCATTATATGACTTCTAGATTAAGCAAGTACACGACTAAATCAAATACAACTCAATTTAAAATTGTCCTAAAGAAAACAAATGGGCGCACACAGCCATGGAAGCTGCATCAAAGACAAGTTTGATGATACAAAAATGGCAGTCCAGTCTATAGATAAAAAACTTTAGGTAGCAACAGACGGCTTGGATGCAGCAGAAAGCTTCGATCTCCGCTTTGCCAAACTCTCGCTCCTGCGTTCTCTCTGTTCCTTCAACCTGGAAGCAAGAAGTTTCTGGTACTCTGCAGCCTCAGATTTAGCCTTGACAATTCTCCTCTTCTTCTCTGCAATCCTGGCACGCTTCCTCTGCAATGTAAGGGGAGTCACTAGCCTCTGGATCTTGGGTGCCTTGCTGCACTTCTTCCCTGCAGAAGAGACCAAATTACAATGATTAGAAATAACAGCTCCAGCTACCAATAGAGCTGTGAATTTGGAGAAATTATTATGTACGGACGCCAAATGCCGGTACCGCAACTCGTTACTATTCGGTACCGTGTTCGGTATTGCTGACGTGGCTCATTTTGGTCGATCTCCGGATGTAGAACTGCGTTCAGCATCCGCACAGAATAATTTCTCGTGAATTTGACACAAATAGATGGTCTTTTACTTGGAATGAGGGGCCTAGATTAAATTAACTGGTCCAAGATTTGATAGGCACGTCTATGCATGTCTCATACTTCTTTAGTGTATTTGTATCAGAATGTAGGAATATATGCATGCATTCTTGATTAAGAATTTGTTTTAGAATGTTGAGAATTAATTGTAAACTGAATCAGTTGAAAGCTTCCAGTAAGATCAAATCAAATTTCACTAAGTTCTCATGAATAAAGATGGAATTGAGTAGACTAGAACAACCAGAGTTCAAAATGGATGATTCTGACCTAATCTTGGACAAAGGATTGAATTTGTTCTATATTAATGAGTCATCAGTTCTATGCGTAATACAAATACTTTTTGATGCATTAACAGGCTCTAGATAAGCACAAAAGGTCAAAAACCGTAGTTAAGGCACTTAAAAATGATTCAAAAACTCACCTGACTTGGTAGTGAAGGTCCGGCGATAAGTATTGACATACTTGCGGACATCATCTTCCTTGGAGAGGTTGAAGAGTTTGCGGATCTTCGAAGCCCTCTTTGGTCCTCTCATCCTAGGTTTCTCAATGTCAGTCAGCCCAGGAAGATCATTTTCACCTTTCTTGACAATGACAAGGTTCAGAACAGAAAGGTCAGGGCTTACGATGCAACCACGAACAGATTTTCTCCTGCGCTCTCCATTGCGCCTTCCATATCCACGGAAACATGGGGTTCCTGCCAAATATAATCGTAGAATTGAAGACAAGGCAACCAACTATTCTACCCAAAGAAACCATTTCAATGCTCAATGTAGGAACCACAATTCTATTCACAGAATGGACAGAAATAATGGCGCAAGGCTTACTTACCTCTGCTAAGTAGCAGGCGAACACGTCCTGGAGTAAGAACTCCTTGCTTCATGGGGAAACCTTGCTTGTCACATCCTCCCATGATCTTGAAGACATAACCCTTGAATTCCTGCCATAAAGAACATGGAAGTTTGGCATTATATTCCTGTTCGACAAAATACCACAAATGCAATTATGAATCCATCATACCTCTCCAAGAGCATCTCCACTGACTTCCTGTGAGATTCTCTTGTCATAGAAAGCTCGCCTGCATAAAAAGGAGACGAAGCATCATATAAGAACCTCTGTTGTCATAACAAACACTTTTTTTTATCCACCTTAATTCTCCCAACATAAGCAACTCGCAAGAACATTATATCAAAAAAGTTTCAAACAAAAGGCGATCAATCAGGAGTGGATCTACCTAAAGCCCGGGGGAAAATTGCCACCCTAAAAAAATAAAAATAAAAATTTATTATATGATTTTTTAGGTAATTTATCCCCTCCATCTATTTTTTAGTCTTTATTACAAGAGATTTTAGGCAAATGCCCATAATAATGTGTAATACAAGTTATTTTACTGAAGCCCTCAATATTGACGCACTAAAAGGATAAAACTAACACGGTTAATTATTACCTCCACATTAAATTCAATACCTAATTAAAAGTTCAGATGCTTAAAGTCAAAGTAGATAAAAAATAATTCGGTACTTGCCTCTTTTGTGTCAATTAAAAAGTTGATGTAACTCAACTAATTTGCATAATCAGATAAATTTCAGCAATTCAGTTATTAAAATAACACAAGTATCTGAGGAGGCCTCCGTGGATGTTATAGCAGTCTTTAAAATTGCTAAATAAAGAGGTTCGGCGTATAGTTTTCAGTCATGTTCTACCTTCTCTAAGTCTAAGATGATTTGGACATATATAACATATAGTAGCATGTAAACAAATAAGACAAAATTAATGTGGAAGGATTAGCAAGATATAGAGATCGAAAATCTGCTTAAAAATTTATCATCATTGTTGTGCCAATAACAATCATTGAGTGCCGGTAGAATTTAGAATGAAGAGGTATCCCGAGCTCGATCCCATATCATGTATACAATCAATAAAACTATAGGTTAACAAGCCAACCGAGGTAACATCCCTAGAAATATACTTCAAGGCTCAAGAAAGGACCAAAGTATAATTCAATAAATTTCCCTTGAGATGAAGAATGATAGCTTATAGGAAGCATTTCTAAAGGTGAGGGTGAAGTGTAGTTCAATACTTCAGCAAATATGAATGGTGGAAGGAGACACTTCATCTTCAAGATCCATCTAGGAAAAAAATGCCCTTTTGTTCCTTAATCTCATCCAAGAGTTGAGATGCGATAAATTTTGTTTACAAAATCTGTACTGAACCATTTTGCCCTTAATAGTAATGGAGAGATGAATGAGACCTATAAGCTTTGAGGTGGCCAATAATTGGAATCGAGCTGCAAGATGGCTCTAAGATTGGCTATTTGGTACTAGTTAATGCTTAAAAGATTTGTGTCGAATATATTGGTCACATGAAAAGATATTCTTGCATCTTGAAGAAATCTGACGAATGAGATTTGGAAGCATTATTGCTTCATCCTACCTCTATTGTGCAATAATTGTAGAAGCACAAATTTTGGTATCATTGTCTTCACAACCAAGATTAATTGATTATTATATTTTTATGTCAACATATCAATGCCCCTTACTTTTGGGTTTATTATAAATAATCCAAAATCTTTTTTTTGGAGAAAATGTTGAATTAGTGAAAGTTTATAACAGGTCTCATACTTGAGCACACGCTCACCAGAAACAAAGGAATAGGTTCGTGCCAAGTAGGGGCCAACCCATAGCTATGGGCCAATTGGCCGCTATGTTGGTTCAAGACGATTGGCACAGAACTATTGCGTATTTGGTGCACATTAGTTGGTGAGTTTAGTTAGGGTTTTTTTAAAAGAACCACTACTAGCTAAACCATAATAAACTATTTAACTGTTATTTTTTAGGGTTTAATATTTAAATTTATTAAATTAACTAATTATAATTATTAATTATGATATTATTAAAATAACTAGTAATAACCTAAATTATGATAATTTATGCTCATTACGATATTTGTACTGATTAACCAAAATAATTAGATCAATAATAATTAATTAATTAAGGGGGATTTACATAGCAAAAGTCAATATAAATTATGAATTTAACACAGCTATCATTTTTTACTACATAATATCTAAATCGTCTTACAACAATAAAAATACCGCTTTCCTAACTTTCCTAACTTCCATTAAAAGTAATAGCAAAAATCATCCCTTCATTCTCTTTAATCTCAACACAACAACGGTAGCATACTTGTCAACGGAGAATGGCGCATTACAGCGCAAAGGATCCTTTGGAGCCATAGCGCATAGTGCATGGCACGATGTGCGTCATATTCAACATGGCGCAAACTATAAAATATTTATAAAAATAGGCATGAATATGAGATATCATTAAACTAAAAGATGATGTAATGCTTGAAAAATCGCTCACGCAAAATACAAAGTTCACAGTTCACAAGTCATCAATTAAACAAAAACTCATCTTTTGAATGAAAAAAATTAGCATTGCAGTTGGATTAAAAACTAATAATATAATAAGATGAAGAAAATAAAATGAAGAATCATGATCCAGGAGGCTTTCAAAAAATTTTGCAATTTTAACTTGGGCGTGAAGGTGCGGCAGAATCAAGCGCAACTTCAATTTGATCGGGGTGAGGAACTCTCGACTTCGATCGGGTAAGGGAACCCTCGCGGGTGAGGTAACCTGCTTCCTTACTTCTACTTCGATCTGGTGAGGGAATGTTGGTTTTGTGCTCACGGGTAAGGGAACACCATGTATTAGGTTAGGACGTGAGCTTTTTAGGTTTAGTTAATGAATAAATAATTATTAATAAAAATTTCTTTATATATTATTTAGAAGATAAAATTATATAAAATTTTCAAAATTATTTAACCTAAAATTAAAATAGCGCACGCAATGAGCCATTGCCCACAGATGACACCATAGTGCGTGCCAACTTGAACCCGTGTGCCACACCATAAAAAATGGTGCACGCAATTTTAGCCATTGACAAGTATGAACGATAGCCCCTTTCTTCTTCTCCATTCTCAATGACAACAATAGTTGGAAGTCAAGACAAGTCACGAGTATTATCGAAGGCAAGTTCCTTCATCGCATTATACTTCACCAGCACAATAAAGATGATTCAAGCTCATGAGTTCTCATCAACGATGTAGTTCAAAAGGTAGTATGTTTTCTTCAATAAAACTCTAAGGCTTTGTTTGTTTGAGCGTTTTTTTGCCTTTTCCGTTTTTGGAAACGGAGGAATTTTTTTTTTGTGTTGTTTGGTTCGTCAAATCACGTTCCCAATAACTCCTTTTTTTTCATTTTTCTGCAGTTTTGAGAAAGCTTTTTATATATGCTTATCCGTTAGAAAACTCTATTTTCTGAACTAATGTTTTTTAAAACTGTCTTTTACAAAATCACCAAAAAAACAAACGAAGCCTAAATCTAAAAAAAATGGGTAGAAAAATTGGCGAGCATGAGAGAAAGAAGACTTTATATTAGCTAGAGAGACAAAATATATCTTAGGAGCATCTTATTAAATAATAATGACAATTTGGTAGTCTTATTTTTACTATAGAAAAATTATAAACTCAATTAATAATTCCATGGATATATAAAATTTATATTAGTAACTCTTTGTTCTAACAAATTCAAGAGGAGATGGAACTAACTACAACTTGTGCTCATCAACTACACCTAATCATCACTTGCTACAGCTCAATCATGAAGTAGATAGAGAAGGATATGGAAGTTAATGGGAGTAAGCTCTTATGCTAGTTTTGATGGTGTTAAAAGCAGAGTTTAAAATTGCAGAATTAGGTATTAAGGTAGTTTTTAGTTCTTGAGGCCAGGCGTAAGCCTCAAGGCATGTTTAGGCACAAGACTCAAAATTAAAATTACATAAAAATAAAAGTTTAAAGTAATTTTTCATATAATACTCAAATAATATGTTAAAGAATGACATATTAGCTTTCTATTGAACTATGAAGTAACAAATTGACATCATATAAAACAAAAAATTGCACAAGAACTAAAGTGATAAGTAATAAATTGTGTGAAATAGAATTGAAATCCAAATATTACTAGAGAGATAATATTAAATATATGAATTGCATAAAAGTATTATATAACATCAAGCTCAACTCCAAACTCCTACTTTCTTAGTTCCCTACTCATCCACATTTAATTTCTAAGAAAAATTGAAATAGCAGACAACAACTCAAAAATCATATGCATTGTCATCACTAAGGGTATCTTTATTTGAGTCATCTTCATAACAATTTGATCCCTCCCCTGCCTCATCATGTGGAATCTAATACCTCCCAATCTACTTCTTCTTCATTTATTTTAATCATCGTCCTCTTTCATAAATTCTTTTCATCAGCATAAAAAATGAAATTAATAATCCAAAAATTTTAGAGTAATATTCTAAAAGTTTTAGAGGAGGTGATGGAGGTATGATGCTTTCATTTGATCCCTAGTGGTGGCTATGGAGAAGGCAGCGAGTTAGAGGTCAAGGCAGTCGAGAGGAAATTGTTGTGGCTCGGGGTGCATGAAGGAGTGAAATGTTCGGGGCTTTAGTTTAGGATTTAAATGATTTTTAATTAAAAAAAATATAAATAGAGTGAGACATAAGCCACACACTAGTGAGGCGAGGCGCAAGCCTCATAAAAAAGCTTGAGGCGTGCATCAAGGTATTTTTCATTGAAATTGCATTAAGGTGGGCCTCAAGATGAGCCTCATATTGCACAATTTTAAACAATGGTTAAAAGATTTGAGTAGCAAATCAGTTAATAATAAAAAATAAGTTAGAGATGTAAATATAGAAGAATTCAATGGCATGCAACTAAATCCCTCATGAATTAATTAGTTAATCCAAGTAATTAGATTGCGCTATCTAGATTGAATCAACTTAAAGGAAGAGGACCAAGATGAGCATGAAAATTTGCAGCTCTATTGAGTGATATCTATTGATTTGGAAAAGAGGAGGAAATCATCAATATGCTGCAGAACAACCATCAGCAGTTTCTTCGGATTACTCTTTCTACCAATTAGTCGAGATAAAAGCTTCAAAGTTTCATAAAGGCAATCGAGGAGGAAGTCAACCATTGTAGTGTTCTCAGATCCTCAGGATTGATGGCCTTCGACCACATGTAGGCTGCGGTGGTTATGACAACGTCCAGCTTTTGGAATAATGTTCCTGAAAGTCCCTTTAAATTGCTTAAATCCTGGGTAATGTAGGATTAACTAAATTATCTCAAAACGGGAATATGTGATTACCAAAACCACAGGATTTAATGAACAAAAAAAATTGTTGCAAGATTTAAACCAATTAATAGTTAAATCCAACTTAAGGGGGTGTTCAGTATCGGATTTGTCTGTCATTTTTAGTAGGATTTAGCGTAAATCCAGCCAAACGCAATCCGCATCACTGTAAATCTGGCAAATGCGTAAATCCAGGATTTACGGATTTACGGCATAAATCCGGTAAATTCGTTTAAATCCTAATCTCATTCCTATTCGGATTTAACGCGACTTACAGTTGCAGAACTTCTTCCCGCGGCGCCTGTGTCGTGATGTGTTGCCAAACAACTTCTCTGGATTTAACAGGATTTAAAATTTGTCATACAAAACACTTTTCAGAATTAATGAGCCTAGGATTTACTAAATCCGGATTTATAGGATTTAGTATATCTTACTAAAATTGAATCCAATCCTACACCAAACATCCCCTAAATCTTACAACCAAACAGCCCCTGAAATATACACTCTCCATCAGACATCGGATACAACAGTAATCAACTATGGTTTCTTCATAATAGAAAAAAAGAAGAAGAAAATAACACTTAAAAAACATTAAAAAAAAAAAGAAAATTTTGTGGAACTAAACTTCCTAAAAATGTTTTTAGGAACATTCCAACGAAAAAAATGGAATCAGAAAAACATGGACAGCTAATAAAGTACACAGCATTGGCATACAAATTAAAAGTAAGGTGTATGAGACCCGATTAAGATTTTAAATCCCCCAAAAAAAAAAAACTCACAGTTTCTGATCATCATCGATCTCAAGCTTCTTCTGGCACCCAGTGGTGGGATTCGCAATGTTGAACTGCAATGAACAAAGCAATAAAAGATAACGATCAACGAAAAAAAAATCCAAAAAATCTCAGAACAAGAAAAAAATAAGATTTTTTTTCCATTAATCCACGCCCCATATGACAAAAATAAAAAAGGACCTTCATATTGGATCTAAATTTCCCTTGCGAGTACTGCAGGCAATGTGAGAGCCGCAGATAGCGTCGGAAGGTTGGGACCTGAAATTCAAAGCCAGGTATGCTAGGGTTTTCCTCGGAAAGGATAAGTTGGATCTTCTGAACCGGTTAATATGAACCGTCAAAATATTAAACCGCCCCAATTTCGTCACAGTGGTAGTCGACGGTCCTGATAATCCAACCAGTGTGGAGGAGAAATCCCTGCCGGTAGGGTGTCAAAACTGATTAGATTTGAGTGCAAACTTCACATTGACACAAGCCCAAATCGGTTAATTCGAATCTGAACCATTTAATAATTTGACCTACTAACAATTCTAACTTAGCCCGATAATTCTTTTTAATTAAAAAAATTATTTTATTAAGTTATTAATCATGTATTTTATGTTAGTTGATAAAAAATAAGAAGATTTTATAAAAAAAAATTAAAAATATTAAAAGAGTTAATTTCAAGTCAAAATTGGGTTGACCGGTCAACTAGAATCTAACACATTTAATAAATGGGTTGGAATGCACGAACCGAATCCAACCTGTCTATTAAACGAATCAATCCGAACCCAAAATTTTTTATTTGGTTGACCGACAAGATCATTTATTAACACTCATAGCTACCATTACACCTTGAGGTGATATGGAGTTGCTTCGAGTGGGCTAGTTTAAATTTGGAGTTAATTGTGTTGATTTTGGCTCAAGCCAAATTGAAGTCTAATAAGAGCATCTAATTTTGAGCCAAGTTTTAAATTAATTTGAGAAAAATCTATTAATTTTATGAATAATAATTTAATTTAAATCATATTTATTATTAGTATTAAATAAAATAATTATATTAAAATATTATGTAGAAAATAGGCAGAATGGCCCTTTGATTTATTTTTATACATAAAATATAAATGGATCGAAATATACAGGAATACATATAAATATTACATTTCACATATATCTAAGCCAATTTGAATTGAATTAAACCTAAGAGTGTAAGTGAGTCAAACCATCCTGTAAGCTGACTCGAGCTTGATTCGATAAATGACTCGTGAGCTGAGCTTAAACTTGAGCTAGCCCTAGCTGGACTAATTAGCTCACGGGCCAACTCTTTTAAAAAATATGAATATAAATGCCCTTTAAATAGATTAAAAATATTTAAAAATTATATCTCACTTTCTTTTATTAAGTAATTAATTATTATTTTTCTTCTAATTTCTCATTCGTTTATCATTTTATTATAAAAACATTTGAATTATAATCATTTTTCTCACTTATAATAAACAAGCGGGCTCAAACTTATAGAATAAAACTCGAACAGGTGTTCGAACTTGATTAATTAAACATGTTCAAGCCAGGAGGAGTAAATAGTGTGCATATATTGTGTACACAATGCATATAAAAATAAAAGTACACAGTATGTATAAGTTTACACAATGTGTATAAAAATAAAAGTACACTGTATATACATACTGTGTACACTCACAGTCCGAACTCAACTCTGCGTCCAGTCTCCGCACAAAATAATTTCGTTGTCAGGGAGAGACCAATCTTGTTATCTGAAACTAAGCTCAGGTCTGAGCAAGCTAAGCAGTACAGAAACTTAGCTCAAGGCCTGAATGGCCTCGCCACATCTTTGAAGTGTTTAAGAAGGGAGTGCTTTCACTGAGACCTGAGGCCTTCATTTCCTTGAATGCTCCATGAGAAGCTAGCCTATGTTATAAAGCTGAACTCCACCTCTAGCAACTACAAGCCCAACAGCTAGTGCAGCTCCAAATAACGAATGTAACCGAACACAGTAATACTTTGCCATAAAGATCTTGAGTTTATTCTGCACGTTAGTGAACTCATGAAATTGCTTAGCAGATTCATAGTGATTGCAAATAATCTGAGTTTGGGATTCTCACATTATGATTTTGCTCAACATAGTCCATAACCAGTTTGGCTAATGGAATGGTGATGGCGCAAAGAAACTGTAAGTAGAAGCCAGCAGTAGAAGAGATTAGATTACAGGAAGACGACTTGAATAAGTGAACATGCAGTATATCTTTGACTAAAAAGCATATTTACCTAAGATAATCATCATGAATAGAGTATTATCTACTATAATTACACTTTCATGGAAAATCTTAAGCATTTTCTCTTCAAAGGGAGGGTGATCTTCAAGTTATGAGATCGGTTTTGACATCGAACAAGTTACCCGCTTGAATAATATAGCAAGCTACCCTTGGCTTCTTGACGCGCAAAACGCACTTTTTGAATTATAGATCAAGGAGGATTCGAACATCTCATAGAAGTGTAGTGTATGGGTTCCTTCCGATCGTAAGATACAATACAAGACTTTCTCTATGCAATTAGTTTCATACCCGACGACAGAAGTTCTCAATAGAAGTTCGGGGTGCTATTATTAGGCAAAGAGGTCGGATGGCAAAAATCACGTGGAAAAAGAAAGATACCGCTGAAGTATGACTAGCAGCATATTAAAGACAACAACAACAACAACATCAAGCCTTTATCCCACTACGTGGGGTCGGCTACATGAATCCTTTTTCTCCATTGTGTCCTATTAAAAGTCAAATTCTCGTTTAAATCTAATAAAGAAAGGTCATTCCTAATATTTTCTAACCAAGTCTTTTTAGGTCTACCCCTGCCTTTCTTAACACAAGTCAAATCTAATACCTCTACTCTCCTAACCGGATCATCGGAAGGCCGCCTTTTTATGTGACCAAACCATCTAAGGCGACTCTCTCTAATCTTATCTTCTACTGGAGCTACTCCAACCTTTTCACGTACATGCTCATTTCATATCCTATCTCTAAGGGTAAAGCCACTCATCCACCTGAGCATCCTCATCTCTGCCACACTTAACTTAGTATTATGCTTCTCTTTTAATGGCCAACATTCGGCACCATAAAACATTACAGGCCTCACTACCATCTTATAGAATTTTCCCTTAAGTTTGAGGGGTACATTTCTATCACATAACAAGCCTGATGCATTCATCCACTTCAACCATCCAACTTGAATTCTGCTGATAATATCCCCATCTATTTCACCATCACTCTGAACAATAGATCCAAGATATCTAAAACGTGTACTCTTATTAATGACTTGATCGCCCAAAGTCACAATCCCTTCACTAGGTCTATTACTACTAAAATTACACTCCATATATTCCGTTTTATATCTACTCAAGCGAAAACCTTTAGACTCTAAGGTTGACCTCCATAATTCAAGTTTACCTTCAACTCCCTCTCTAGTCTTATCAATAAGAAGAATATCATCAGCAAAAAGCATACACCAAGGTATATCCTCTTGCAAATGTCTAGTGAGAACATCCATGAAAAAAGCAAAAAGATATGGGCTTAAGGCTGACCCTTGATGTAACCCAACCGAAATAGGAAAATACTTGGTCAAACCACCTTGTGTTTGAACACAAGTAATAGCTCCTGCATACATATCTTTAATGATTTGAATATAAGCATTATTGACTCATTTCTTTTCAAGAACTCTCCATAGCACTTCTCTTGGAACTTTATCATATGCCTTTTCTAAATCAATAAATATCATATGTAGATCCTCCTTATTTTCTCTATATTTATCCATCAAACCTCTTAATAAATGTATGGCTTCCATAGTCGACCAACCCGGCATGAATCCAAATTGATTTTGAGAAACATTAGCATCACGCCGCAACCTATGCTCCATAACTCGCTCCCATAGTTTTAAAGTATGACACATTAACTTAATACCTCTATAATTCGTACAATCTTGTGCATCACCTTTATTCTTAAAAATAGGAATTAACATACTCATTCTCCACTCATCTGGCATATTTTTAGTCTTCAAAATAGTATTAAAAAGTTTAGTAAGCCAAGAAATCCCTTCAACTCCTAAGCATTTCCACACCTCTATTGGAATATCATCAGGTCCAACCGTTTTAAAGAGAAACTACAAAATTTAAAAGCCTCTACGATAGTTATCTTCTCATGAAACAACAAAATTTATCCATAACGACAAGTATTCAACCATGAAACTTTAGGACAATATAATTGGAATCTAACTATGGTTAACCACTGGAATGAATTTATGCAAGTATTCTGGCATATGTGAACTTTCACTATTTCTGGAGAATTTCAAACTTGTAAAAAATTTCAGATCTTAATGTGCAAACTTACCGAACAGGTCAAAGGAATATATTTGCATGCGCTAAAAGTAAACAAGAGAATATAAAGTGCTAAAATTCCAATTCTTATCAGCTTCGAGCCTGTTTCTGTGCCTATACGAACCTGGGGAACAAAGATCATTAACAGTTATAAGCTTTCTGTAAACATACTCGACAAAAATTGTATTCTTAGATAATGTAAGTGAGAACTTATGCAGAAAGACATACCAGAGGGGACATCTTCCCAACAGCCGCATCTCCATCAATCTAAGTTCAACAATCAGATAATGAATTTATGAAAACAGAATGTCATGTGTGAAACTACAAGCTCACCTGGTGAAAATGGCTGCAGAAGAGAATGAAAGTAGTGGTGAGTCCAACAAGTACTGAAGCACATAAAACTGTAGCGCTTAATGAGAGGTGGTTCATGCCACTGTAGAGTTGAATACTTCAAAAAGTTCAATTCATCAAGTGAGAATCAAGTGTTAAGAGTATCAGCGTGAATAAGGAAAAACCTTGTTAAGTTTTTACTACTTTGTGAGAAATAGAAAGCTGTTGTGGCAAAAGGACCAAAGGCTGCAAAGCACAATGGTTCTCCAAGTCCTTGGTAACTAAGTCTAAATGGAGGACACTGCAATATATATAATTTATGGTAAGAATGCCGATTAGGACTTTCAATAACAGTAGAAAAAAACGATAGAGGTTGCCAAATGATTAGCAGTTCATAAAATTAAACAGTTTGTCAGAAATTTAGGCAGCTTGTCAGAATTTAAAATTTTTGTGTTAAAAAGCTGCTTTAAGAAGCAGAAAGAAAGCCGTCCCAAACGAAGCCTTAGTATGAATATATCACAAAACATCATGGAGATATTATATGAACTAAAAAGTATATGATGGTCCGCTAAAACACTCAAATCTACCATAGCCTAACTGCAATAGCTCTGTCGGTGGTTAAAAAAAGTCCTTTTGACTCTAAGTTCATACTTTTCAAAGTGCTTCCTTCTCACTCCTATTCCTTCTTGTAAACGTGATTATAAAATACCCATTATTCCAAAATTTTATACATGGAGACATTGTACATCGTTTCTATTTGTTTTTTTGTTTTGCCCGATTGAAGATCATGTGAAATTTCCTAGACGAACCCAAGGTAACTGCTTGTATGCATACTGTTCTTCACTGCACCAAATAGACTATTTTATTCAATTAAAACTTCTCTAAAATCATCAAACAAAGATATTATTGAAAGGAACATACCCAAGGTGACTGCTTTTCAAAGTGCTTCCTTCTCGCTGGAGAAAGGAACATACCCTTACAGCTTTTACAAAACGCATCCTCCAAATCAAGAGCCAAAATACTTGGACATCAGACAAAGATATCATTGAATTGTTCCATCAAAAATCATAAAATTAATGATTGTTGTGATGTAGGGTGAATCATCACAAGAGACAGCTTCTCCGAGCAGGAACACGAAAGCACTAATTACGGTTATAATCCAAAAATATTTATTCTATTTATTCTCCATAAAACTGTTTTATATATAAGAAACCTATAGAAACTTCTAGAAGGTTCAAGAAAATACGTAGAAAAAATAATAAAGAGATAAACTATTTCTAAAAAATACTATAACTAAAATGCTCTGCATCATATTGTCTCTAGAAAAATAGCATGCCCATGTGAAACTTTGTATCGATTAGAGCTCTAGAAACAGTGGTTTTGTGTTTGGTTCACCATTGCTTAAGCCAAATCCGCTTCACCGAAGTTATATATAGATCACGACTCACGACCTATAATATACAGTTACATATAGTTCATGACTCACGAGCTATAGGCTTAACCTTTAGGTTGCTTGGTTATCACTGCTAAGAACCATGTCATTTTTCATGCTAGGAACATAGAATTCGAAATACCATTCCCTCATACAATGCTTTCTATAACTGAAAACTAATAATTAGATGTTCTCATGTGTCGTAATGTATAAAAGAATTAAATAATACATTAATCATAAAAAAGAATTACATTCTAAAGCATTTTTCTTCAAAAAAAAAATTTACTCTAACAGACCATGCCCATGATCATCATTATAAGAGAGCAGTTTCCCAATTGCAATGTATAGGATCTTCTTGAGGAAGATTGAACTTCTTGGGAGAGAGAGGGATAGAGCTAAAAACAGAACAATCATATTGCTTTTTTTTATCTCTACCTTATTACAAACTATAATATTTATATATAGACACTAATGATAGCACAAAAAACTACAAAAAAATCTAAACTAAAGAAAGTACAACTATAAATCTGGACCAATCAAATGAACTCCACCTTGGTTCAGATTTACAAAACATTTGAGTAACTCCATGTCTCCCAAATCTAGCATCTCAGCTAAGTTCGCGTCGCCTTTGGACCTAACTCCTTGCCTCTTCAACAAATTTGGGCAAGTTCTCTTCAAATGTCCTTTATGGCAATAGAAACATTTTTTACTGAACTCGTATATTCCTCCTGCTATCATAATGTTTCCAACACTTTCTTCTCACCCTCATTCCAACACTAAAATTGTTTGGACATTAAAACCGACTTTACCTCAGTCATGGTTAACGTCTACTTACCATATAATAATGTATCAACTATATTTTCATATGATTTTGGCAAAGAGCTTAAGATAATAATGCCTTGATCTTCCTCAATTTTTACATTTACATTCTTAAGATCAAGAATAATTTTGTTAAATTCATCAATGTGTTTTTTCAGGTATTTACATTCATTCATGTGCAATGTGTAAAGAGCTTTCTCTAAATACAACCGGTTGGCCAACGATCTCTTCAAGTACAATTATTTCAATTTCTCCCAAACTTTTATAGCAGAACCCTCTTTGACTACTTCCCTCAATACTTCATCCCTCAATACTTCATCACTATGAGCCTTTAAATGGGTTTTCCTAGCCCTTTCCCAGTCAGTTTCAGCAGCCATATCTTCCCTGGAGATGGCCTCAGAGGTTCCTTGATGAACAAGGAAAGCATTCATTTTGATTCTCCATAACCGAAATCATCTTCACAGGTAAATTTGTTGATTTTGAATTTATGTATCGACATGATTAAGAATCTTAGCTACCAAACTTCACCTCAAAAAATTCTACAATCTTTAATGAAGAATTGTCGAATGATTTTGATCGCAAGAGCACCACCAACAACTACCTGTGTCGGAAGACTCCTGCGCACCGCAACGTTCACCTCTGCCTTCCGGACGCTGCGGGAGGCTTTCCGCACTGCTAGTTGTTGGTGTTGCTCTTGCAATCAAAATTATTCTGTAATTCTTGATTAAAGTTGTTGGTGTAATTCTTGATTAAGATTCTTGATCATATCGATACATAAATTCAAAATCAACAAATTTATCAGTGAAAATGATTTCGGCTTATAGAGAATCAAAATGAAGGCTTTCATTGTTCATCAAGGAACCTCTGAGGCGATCTCTAGAGAAGATTTGGTTGCTGTAACTATCAGGGCAAGGAGATAGGCCCAAAGATGACACCAACTTAGCTGAGACGGTAAATTTGAGAGACATATGGAGTTACTCAAATGTTTTGGAAATTTGGATCAAGGTGGAGTTTATTATGATTTGACCAGATTTATAGTTATACTTTCTTTAGTTTAGGTTATTGTGTAGCTTTTTGTGCTATCATTAGTGTGTATATATAGATGTTATAGTTTGTAATAAGGATAAGAAAAGCAATAAGATTGTTCGGTTTTTAGTTCTCTCCCTCTCCCCTTCTCTCTCTCTCCCAAGAAGCTCAAGAGGAACTTCTTCTTCCGTCAAGAGATCCTACAGAATAGAAGAACAGTATCCACATGCAAGCAAGAATACAAGAAAAATATCCGCATGAAAATTGTTCAAATAACTATCTTAGCAGCGAAGGGGCAAAATCAGTTATAGTATACCTTGATAGCAAATCAGCTGCATGATATGTGCAAAATGATGTTATTATTAGTGATCACAACGGAGCTGAAAGGTTTACAACACCAACTGATTAATTGTTTAAAACAAGCTTTTAGTTACCTGATAAATGTAACCACACAGGATAGCAGATGTGGCTAACAAAATGAAACGGATATCTCCTGCTTCTGCACACGCCCAAATGAGCCCCATAAAGCCAAACACAAGAAATGTGATAGCTGCAAAATGTGTGGCTGTCTGACTTCTCAACAATTATAATGTGCGTTAGTATTACTGAAGTCAGATTCTTCAAACACACCAAAACTAACATAAATTACAAAACAATCCTAAATCATGCCTGCCAATAATATTAATAACTGATTCCTTTTTGTTTCTATCCACCCCGGTGTCATAATCATATACATCATTACTGCAAAAAAGTGAGACATTTTTAGAATCTCAAATGAAACATTGCAGCCGGATTAGTATCCCTAGAACAAAATCTACTTGAAAATTCCGAATCACCTTAAATTGAGCCAAGCAATAATGAGAACTGAGGCAAACAAGAGCAAAAAGTAACGCCTGGTAGAGAAAAAACCAGTTTGAAAATATGCCGCAGCAGAGCCTACCTATACAAAAATGAAAAGAAGCTGAAAACTTAATTTCAAATCATATAGATAAGAAGATCACAATCATACAAATATGTGAATACAAGCACATATCAATCACCATTAACTGAAAAAAAAAATGGCTTACATGATCTAACTCGTCCAAAAAATAAATAAAAACTCGTTTTTTATAATCAATTTAGCCGACAAGACCGCTTCAAATGAATTAAAAAAAAAAGGTTAGAAATTAAGTGAAGACAGTAAGTCTAGTAGAAGAAACACGCTAAGATTGATAACTCACGGTAAGGGGCACCAGTGCCACGGAATATATAGGCAATTTGGCGGCCCTCCATATCAGAGTCATCCTCGATATCTCAGCCTCTTCGCCTTCTTCCTTTTCACCGGTCGTAAGGCGGATGGTCTGAGGTTGGGATGAACATTTCAGTGCTGGAAGGCGCCCATGAATTTTCACCTTCGTTTTCCATTTCTTACAACTTATGGCCTGCTGTGAGACTCTATAGCAGAGAGGCGGTCGATGACAGAGGTCGGAAACAAGTGGGAGGAGAGAAGGATGGTGAAGAGTTCCAGCCCCCACTGATGCCATGTTGAGAGAGAGTGTGTGTTTGTTTTTTCTTTGTTGCGGGAGTTGAGAAGGTGCTACATGACGCCGGCGAAGCTCAAAGAGCGCAATGGCTTAGGTTTTTCGTCAGTTGTTTCCACATGGTTGGTCTCCCGCTACTACAATTGTTCCGCGACAGTCCGATGGATAAGATAGGGAGAATAGCTTAGTTGGGTCAACATGTCACCCACCAGTTCACCAGGTTAAACGGGTTGAAATTAATAAGGTGCACCTGAGGTGTGAACATCCATATTGGATGGGCGAAGATATGAATGCGGGGCTTCAAGTTCCATTCGTTAATTCTGTATTCGACCTTACATATATAGCTCTACATATATTGTTCGTGCTTAATAATTTTGTCTGAAATATGGATATTGGATTTGTCCCGAGAATTCAATTTTACACATATAAATCTATGTATGCTGTCAATATTTAAGCTTCATTTGAGATTACTTTCTTACTACTTCTTAAAGAAGCTTTTTAATTTAAAAATTAAAATTTTTGAACTAAAAAGCTGCTTTAAGAAGCAGTAAGAAAACTGTCCCAAATGAAGCATTAGACTTCATTTGGGATGGCTTTCTTACTGTTTTTTAAAGTGATTTTTTATTATAAAAACAAAAATTTTAATACTAAAAAGTTGCTTTAAGAAGCAGTAAAAAAATTGTCCCTAACGAAGCTTTAATAAGTCATGGATTATGGATATTAAAATTATTTGAAGGATCCACAAAGTCTGAAAGTTTAGTAGATCAACATGTCAAGGTTATCAGCTTACTCATCCAAGAGGATTCACCAAGGGAATTCATCCTATTGAATTCATATTCAATGTGAAACTCATTAAAAGTTGCCAAGCATTTAAATAATTATCAGCTAATGATCTTTGTTAACCTCATAACAAAGCTTTATCAAGTCTTTATGTGTAAATTATCTTAGATTCATATGTGAGCTAATCAGATTTGTTAACCTCACAACAAAGCTTTATTAAGTCTATTTTTATATATGCATTTAATTTTAGTCATTCATATACTATTGAATTATAACCGAGACATACAAATGAGAGGCTAGAAGATGAGCATAACATACTTTGATAGGCCCATATCACAACAATTCTTTTTGATATTGAAATCTAATAAAATTCTTAGAAATCATCATCATCTTTACCATCATTATTATCATTATCTCACACTTATTTAGAGTTGATTTATGAAGCCTCATTTTCATTAATTTGTGTTGTTTGAGATTATATGGTTTATATACATATTATCTTTAATTTATCATACTTCTTTAAAATTCTTTGCAAATATAATTATTTCTCAAGTTATACGCATATTCTAGCCTTCATCTTACTTCATATGCGAGTGTAAAATAAAGCTAAGAATAATTACCTAAATAAAATTAAGTAAATCCAATAGAATAACCAAAAGATTTTTGAACTTGTAAGATAAGTAGAGCAATCCCTGTATATAAACACCACTGGCCAACAACCTTGACGAGGAGGATGAAGTGCATAGATGGAGCAGTCTGCTAGGAGAACAATGTCTCATGCTTTAGGATTACAATCAAAACTTGTTGACCCTCTAAGACATTCCACGTATGTAGGATCACCCAGACCTTTTGGAATGACGGGAGCATGCCCATCTATAATACAGGGAGAAGGGAGTTCATCTTAAGCAAAAGGAGTAGGGCATTGGACTATTCCAAAATTATAATGGGTCGCAAACTCGCAATGACATCTTCCTGTGGGCCACAAGCTTCATATGACTTGAAAAAATCTCATGTGGATGACTCTATTTGGCTGGCCTAGAACTCCAACTCAGCATGCATGATTATTGAATAAGTACAATCAGACATGAGCACTGCACATGAGGAAAGGGAGCGTGAGCAAGAAGAAGAACCACAACTCCATAGGAGTAGGCGTGAACCCTTAAGATACACCCCTGGAATAGATGCTCTCCGACACATGAAGAGGAGGTAGTTACAATTCAGGAAGAATGAAAGATGTATTATATTTGAACTTTAATGTGTAAATATTTCATATTATGTAATATCTTTGTTATAATGAAAGTAGTCTTTTGATATGCATTTACAAATTAAATAATCTGATTTCTCTAAATTTTATAATTTATATTTTATAGTATTTTTTTTTAAATGTAAATCATTTAGTTTTTAATATATATTATATATGAATTTTATGATTTAATTTTTTTAATTATATATAAATTTCGATTGTGAAATTCAACTATGCTGTCAAATCAATTAGTATTATCAACTTAGTATATGTTGTTAAGTCATCATGTGTTGTCAAATCAGGTTATATTTAATCAATCAAACAATCATATGCTATCAAATCACTCTGTGCTATTTATTTATTATTAGGAACTCATAATTGATCATAAAAACTGATAGACATTGCCCATAAATTGATGTATGCAGCTCATTCATTTCATTCTAAACTTCTTTTATAGAATTTCGTATGCTTGTTTTATGTTATTATGCAATGTATCGGAAAAAAAATTTCTTTGAAGAGCATGACTATGGAGGGCAATACTAGGTTAAAGTAATGTTTAGCATATTTTAGTGATGATGTATTATAGGAGAATACTATATTGAATGAGCTTTATCGTTGTTGTATACATTATTGGTCTGAAATGGAAGATTGTATATTATGGGACACATGGCTTAGTTATGATGATCAGCTCTTACAAGGATGAAGACGGTTTGAACGAAGAAGGTTGAAAATATGTGCAAAGGAGGGTTATGGAAATGGTAGGACATCTGACACCAATGAAGATTTTGAAGGCAAGACATGCTGAAATAAGAAGGCTTAAAGATGGATTGATTGAGGTGATTATGGACAACCCAACAGCCGATATATGTCATTATATTCTCTATCGAAAATGATATCCTGTGGCAGATGCATTCATCGTTAAGATATATGAGAATCTGATATATTGATCAGGTAAAAAGAGGAATAAGTTTCTTAATGCGTTAGATTGGCAATGCATCCAGTATTGGTTTCAATAGAAATTTGGTTGTTGTCCAACCCAAACCTAACTCCAAGCTTGTACACTCATCTTGATAAAAAATCGTTGAAATTGTTATGCTTTTATAACTTCGTAATGAGCTCCTAATTATGTTTTAAATGAATGTGATGTTAATGTCCTTTATGTTTGTTATCGTTGAAGTTAGTATACCTTAATGATCTGTACGTTCATGTATGTTTTAATTTGGTTCTCAATCTATGGTTTTAGTTGTTGTTGGAATGTTGTTTATGAGTTCAGAAATTTAATATAATTTTTTGTTATCTAATTTAATATAATTTTTTGTAGTTTAAAATCACTACAGGAAATTCATACATTACCGACAGTTATTATAAGATTTCCTGCGATTTTGTTCTAAACCGTCAGCTTTGCGGCAGTTTAAAAATCGTCGGTAAAAACCGCGTAGGAAATGATTTTCGACGGTCTTTTTCTGGTGGTTTTATTCACCAGCAGTTTTCTGGCCGCCCTATTCTGCCAGTTATTTCCGACGATCGTAACGCCGGTGACCGTCGATTATTTACCAGTAGCATACTGGCTGTCAAAACCAACAGTAATACCAACAACCAAACGGTCAGGTCATTGTCGTTTGAACACCATAGACCGCTGGCAAGCCACCGATAAATCACCGGCGGCTTACCGGAGGCCATAACCGAAGGAATTATCGGCGGCTAAACCGCTGAATTATAGCCGGATAACAACTGGCCACTGTCGGTAAACTGCTAGTAATTACCGGCGGCTTTAGTAAACTTCTATCGGCTATAATTAGCTGTTCACTATCGACGTTACCAGCGGCCAAACTACCGGTTGACCGTTAGAAACCTATAGCATTTGAAAAAAATATTGATAGCATATCCTCTATATTTACTTAATTTCACCCTATACTCTAAACGTGCATAAAAAAATACAACATATGAACAACACGCCACTATAATCAATCATAACAGTTATCACAAATATGTTCATCAAAATAAATAAACTCATCATAAGTTCATAACTAAACAAATAAACTCATCATAAGTACTTTAACACAATAAGTATATCAAACCAAATAAGTTCACACATAAGTTCATCATAAGTTCATCAAACAAATAAGAGTATTAATCCTCATCCATGTCCTCGTTGTATGATGATGCATGTGGCTACTATTGCTCTTTTTTCTTTTGATTTTTATCTCTATAGGATCGCAGCTCTGCCTGCATCTCATTTTGAACATTTCTCATCTCTTTTATCTGTCTTGTCAGTGCTGCAACCCTCTGGCTTATACTTTCTTCAGCTCCACTTGGATCATAAAATACTTAGGTGAATAAATTGCTCTTATAAATAAAGCCTTGCGAACCCAAGCCATATACCCTCCCCCTCTGCCTTCCTCCAACAACATCTGAACATGTATGATACTCAGAATACTGGGTCGATCCTGAAGATGATCCCTCACCAGTAGACTGACGACTTTCCCGAGCTCGTACAAAATCATCACGCGAGAATAAATCCATAAAATATATTGATATTACAATGAGTTTTATTATATTAAGACATTGTTATATGTGGATGGGCTAATAATTAATGTCAATGGAAGGTGAAAATTGCTTACAACAATCAGCGACGTTACTGGCAGTCAAGTGACCGCTGGAATTACTGACAGTAATTGGAAATATTCGCTGAAAATTTTTTCTGGTAATGGACGATTTTCCTATAGTGTTTGTGGTATTTATTTATTGACGATATGGTATGGTCAAGTAGTGAGGATGCATTTATTTCAAGGTGAAACTCAATTTGATTGATTTTGAAAAAAAGCTAATGGTTAATTACTCCAATCAACAAATTTGTTGGAATGTGGGAGAGATGCATTGAGTTAGGGGTGTCAAAATAGGCCAACAGGCTGGGTCTAACCCACAATTGACTCGAACCAAATCCGGTAAACTCGACCTCGACCTGTTTAATAAACAGACTAAAAATAAGGATCCAAATTCGTCCTGCTAGTAACCTAAATGACTCGAACCTGACCTAATAACCATTTTGATTAAAATAATCAAAATAAACTTTTATTGAGGCAAGAGTTAACATTATGATCATTATGATGGAAAT